GGGGGGGGGTCGCCCCTCGGCCGGGCTGCGCTCGGGGACCCAGCCGCAGCGCGGCCCAGGTGCCTTCTTCTCACGCTGAGCCAAACGCCGGCAGGCGGAAAGCCAAAAGTGCTGCCTAGTACGGTGTGTGTCCGCCGGGCGCCCTTCGAGTCCCCTCAAGGCAGGTGCTTTCTAGCTGTAGGACTCGGGAAGGGGATGTGCCGTCCAGGCTTGGCCCCAGCCTGGTAACAGCATCGCAGCTCGATCGCTCTGTCCGCGAGGGAATTACATGCACACCTGCAACACGCTGCAGGATCAAGACCACGGTGGCAGGCTACGCAAAGCCGACACATTACCGTTCAACTTTTGGAGGCTGCTTCGAGTCTTAACGCTTCTGGAAAGAACAGGTTAACTAACGCCGCGGACCTTTCCAAAAATTAATATTGCCAGGTAAATGATTACATTAGCATCTGCCCAATCTTAAATTAGATCAGCCTGAGGTTATAGTGTGGAAGATTTAACGCACTAAAGTTTCGCAGGTGTTCTTTTTTCTTTTTCCATTTTTTTCTGGAAACTGTCATACCTGCAAACAAAAGTTCAGTTCTCAAAGTCCTCTTTGTACTTCTTTTTCTACTTTTCAGTATTTCACTATCACCAAAAATTCTTGACTGCAGATAGTAAATTTTAAAATTAAAGAGTTCTACATCTGAAAGGTCATATGACACCTTTTGTGCTATGTTCTAGGACTATTCAACATTTTTCAAAAGTACACATTTTCTCAGTTATTTTTAACTACTTATAAATAAATTAAAAAAATGAAAGGGAGAGAAGAAGAGAAGAATAAGACACCTTTTCATAAAAGAAATAAATTTGTCTCCCACTTTCTCTTGAACAGCTTTTACTTTTCAGTTGAGCCAAGTGGATATCCATTCAGCACCAATAAGATCTTTACTGACTTCAGTGGGACCTGACCAGGCCATGGATTCACATATACGTCTGGGTCCAAACTCTCAGATACCTCTGGGAGATGTGCTAAAGATGAGATCTGGGAAAAGGAATGCAGTTTGGATAACAACCTCAGAAACTCCCATTAAAAGGAGTGTTAGTTTGTCCATGAAGAGGAATATGGCACACAAGAGGCCAGTGTAATGTTCTCCCATGCTACAGCATAATTCCAACTGTTCAGCTATAGCACAGGAAAAAGAAAAATATTAAAAGGCTTAGCAATTTTTAAATGGCGTATCTCACTGCTTGTCTGTTTTGTTGTCTTTGATTTCCTAAATGACAGAAAAAGTTGGCTAAGCTTCCACAATGCCCTATTTCACCAGGCAAGGATCTAGGCTTTCCAGGAAGGTACAAATGAGCCTGCACAAACTGCCCCACAGATTATGAAGTCTTTCCTATTTACATTTCAAAACTGTAATAACTCAGCAGTGCAATAATGGAAAGATAGGTCAATTATGCTTCTATTCTGAGAATCTTGAAGGTTGAGGATAAATCACTTAAACAAGTCATCTTCTTTTTCCTCCCCGTTTTGCCCTCTTAGCCCCTTTTTACAGTTACAGCATTCCCTTTAAACAAGAAAGCCTGTTAGCATGTCCCAAGTTGTGGATGGCACTAAATCCTTGTCAAACAGTTCTGACCTGGAAATCACAGAGCTGACCTTTCCCAACCGAAAGATACAGAGCCACAAATCCTCAATTAGCTTTAAGGCACAACATAAGTTTTGTACACTTTGCGCCAAATTCAATCCTGATGTAAAAAGATCCAGGCCTCTTGAGTCTAATGGAGCTGCAAGCCGCTTTCATGCAGGCTGTATTTCACCCTTTGGGTTTGTCCATGAAAAGCTTTAGGATCCTTCAAGGAACAGCGCCAGTAGCTGGGGATTCCTGGTTAGATAGCATTTTAGCCACATGAGAAATTTTTCTGAGGAGCATTGTAAAGGCTCTTATGAATGAAAGGACACTGAGACAGTGACAAAGCTGTTAATCGTTTTGTCCACGTTTCCCTCACGCTGTCTTTTGAGATCATACAGGGTTCTGTATGAGCTCACCTCTTTTTTTGATACTCAGTCATGTCTCTAGGAGTAGAAAACCATGAATCCCAGGCATCAACAGATTAGTCCTGTATCTGTCTACAGTCCCGTGATAGCTGTTAATGCCTAGAGAGTTCCTACCCAACACATTCCGTCTTTCACCATTTGCTTAACTCTTCTGCCTTGGGGATTACCTTCTGTTTAGGCTTGCTGTTCTAGTTTTAAGAATGTCTGACATTTCTATGTAATTGCACAGGGGAGATATTATTAGGGGAGATATTACTTATTTCTATAAAATTATAGGGCCAAGAAGATGAAATCAAACCCAAGAAAACAGGCTGCTCAGCATATTCCAGTGATTACTGGAGTAATATCAAACACACAGCATTTGATTGTGATCAATTGTTGATTGTGATCAACAAAGGCCTTTAGCTGGGAATTGGACCCAGGTCTTGGTAAGTCCTAATCTAAGCATGGATCTGTAGCAACATGCTTCGTAATGTGGGACAGCTTTGTCTCCGCTGAGAATCAGAAGCCTCGGCTAACTTTATGAGACATTTTTAGTATACATATCATCAATAGCAAGCTCATTAGTCACAGGAGAATTTTCAAATCTTCATCTCCTACAGATCTATCAGTGATACTTTGCAGCATTTAAAATTCACCATGGGTTTGATTCATCGA